TCATCAGTGAATATGTATTTGAGAACATGAAAATTTGTATTTGATGAACTTTTGCAAATTGAGTAAAACAACAAAACATATGAATATCAGCTCACCAGTGAATATGTGTAATAAAAAAGATGAAATTAACTATTATTGGTACAATGACATTAAAGCACACATGGGCAGCGCCCTCGTGGGGTTCGGTGGCAACACCCCGGGGGGTTGACCTGACCGGTGGGGGCTGATATAAAAAAAAAAATTATATACATTTTATTACGATATAGTTTTCAATTAGCATATTGCAACAATTTACAGTTATAACATAAACCAATTAAAAAAAGAAAGAGAAAAAAAAGTCTACACACCCTCTTCAATTGACCCATCTTATTTCATTTCTCTCTCCACAACCTAATTGTTTTGGGAAAAAATGTATCTCACTGTTATATAAAAAAAAAATTTGTCTCCATGTGGAGACACGTTCTCGTGTCTCTGTACGCGCCCACGAAGACATAAGAATGTGTTTCCGTGCCGTGCACGCACTGAGATGTCTCCGTGCTGCACGGAGACACAGGTCTTCGTCTCCGTGTGCGTACGGAGACATCATGTCTCCGTGCGGCATGGAGAGATTTTTTTTCCTCTTCCCAGCATTTTATCACAGTGAGTTTTAAGAATTGATCATCAATTAAGTGTACATGATTACCAAAACTCGACATATTTATTACAAACATAATGGTGAGTTTTAACAATCAATGATGGACATCAATTAACATCATGGGTGTACAACAATCTTCACATATCAGTTGGGACATTTCCATTACTGAGAGGAGGGAGATTTAAGTCACATATAAAACATTGGAACGTCCAATGCTCTGATCAAGCTATCAAACTCAAACAAATTATATGATATTTGATTTAAAACAAAAGAATTCAACATTTTCCAAGGGACACCCAAACAAATTATAATTTCGTGGAAATTTCGAATTCAAATTTACCTGGGCAAAGAAGTGATGGTATTACACACGGCGCACACACATTTGTTGCTCCACTCGGGTATCCTATACATTTTAAACTATTATATAAAAAGGAAAACACATTAGTAAAATTAACAAGAAATTAAAATTGGAACGAAATCGAAGTCGAAGTTTTTGTGGGGTTTGGAAATTGGATTCGGAATCGAAATCGAGATGGAAATTGGAATTCTATAGTGGAAGGTAAATGACGTTAACAAAGGGGAGAAATGTTTGTGAAAATGGAAGATGAGATAAGTTGCGTGAAGATGATGTGGAGATGAAGGGGGAAATGCGTGTGAAAAAGGAAGATGGGATGTGATGTGTTGCGTGAAGAGGAGGAGGAGATGTGTGAGGGAAAAAAAAAAAGCATTTTTACGACGATTGGAAATTGGGACACTTGTCCGCCTTTACTTTAGCTCTTTTAATATGTAGTGAAAAGTATCAATTTTTAAAGAATGTACTGCACCATTAAGTCCATGTTTAACCATCATTATTTGAAAACACTTTTTTTATATATATTCATTTTCAATTACATATTTACAAAATAAAAAATTCTATACGTAAATCCAAAATTTTCCCTATTTTCTCACAACATATTTTTCTAAAAATTACTGTTTAAAATATTGTTTTGGCTGACCATCAAACAGGGGCTAAGGCAGAGTTGATAATAATGATTTTCAGCTGATTAAAAAATTAAGAAAGTGACTGTCTTTAGGTTGTAAGTGGATAAATACATATATTAATAAGCAAAAAAAAAAAAGAGGAAAGCAATCTAATGATCCTAATCAAAAGAAGTTAATTGTTTGAACACATTAAACTTCACTCATTGTACTTCAATTTGCACTTCATTATTCATTCAACTTTATAAAGTTGTACTCTATTACTTGCCATTACCTACGTAGATAACAAAATATACGCGTGACAAGTTAAATCTCTCAAAAAAAAAAAAAAATGCCAGTTCATTAACAATGCGTCAGGATTTCAGTTTTGTCATAACAATTTGGCCCCTTCAAACAAATTGTGAAAAGTCAACTAATTCATCAAACGTGTTTACCTCCTATTGAAATTTTACTGTTTCTTCCACATAAATTTTTCAACAAATATCGAAGGATTCTCGAACACAAGCAACTACAAATGCCGTAGAGATGATACAGCAGACACAAACCTGCAATAAACTCAAAATAACTTGCAATAATGAAGCCTTTTCCATGAAATGCTGATTATTAAATGAGAAATGCTACAATTACACACTTGGTACACAACTCTCTCATATGTATGTGGATCCCATTGTGGACCCATACACATGTGAGAGGGTTGTGTACCAAGTGTGTACAAGTATCAAATTTGTTATTAAAGTATTTGGACACACTCGGCATAGTTTCTGAAATGCAGTGAAGGGGGTCAGGAGGCACAATCCACCATCTTAGCCATACACATTGTTGCCCCAAAAATGATGTTTGTACAGTCATTAGTGTGGGCCTGTAAAAATTACAGCCCACTAATGACTGTAAGTGTAGCAGGTTTCTTGCTGCTCCTCGCTCATCACCTCAAACAATGGCTTGACAAACAGCGATACCATCCCATCACTCCCTCCTCCACCCTTGAGGTACAATGCGGACAGCTAGCCAACTGTATCGCAACAGGCCCGCCTAACTTGGGAATCTGAATCCTTCAGCCTCTTAACATTGTGAGCAATGATTTTGGTCAAATGGGTCGCGTATATTCTGTTGTAACGTAAAATTAAAAGTTTTAAATTTCAAATTAATACATTTTTAATTTTCAATTTAGTTTTTAATTTTCAGATTTAATACTAAATTAAAAATCTTAATATCAAAATGTAAGTTATATTTGAGTGGTTTAATGTGGGGGTTGAAACTTTACCTATAAAAGGGATTAATTTTCATAACATGAAATTATAGAACTTGAGAAGAAAACTATAATATAATCAAAATAGTCTTTTTGTTTTCATACTATATATTTTTTATACTTTTGGCAACTCGATAAAGGCTCGTTCTTTATCTCTCTATGATTGTGCCCATAGAAGGAGAATCGACTGTGAACCACGTGGATTTTATCTTGGAGCCGTGTGTGCCGAAAGAACTCGCACGAAAGGGAAGCAACACGACTTTATGACAGCATCCTTGACATGACTCCCAAAGGCTTGCAATTCTAACTCTATCTACTTATATTTTATGTTCATGTTATTGTATAATTCTTATATTTATAATCATAGTTGAATTATATTTATTAGTGTTATGTTTATATTATTTAATTAATTATGTTAATTGATAAATATCTACACACAAATCACCTATTTTTTACAACAATCTAAAGTCTTGTTGGGTGATTTGTATGTAGACAATTCATCAGTTTTATGATCTTGAACTAGTAACATTGAAAAATTTCTTATTCTTTTAATTAAATTAAGAAATTTGGGCATTGCGACATCTGTACAAAATTGCATATGAACTCCTATAATTTGTCCTTGGTGTAAGTGAGGTAAAATTTAAATTATGAGGCCTATGAAACTGTTGCATTCTAGGTAGTTGTTCTTTGAAGAAGTTGATGAGGGCGAACATGCATAAATAAAGAAGGGCTTAGGAGTTAATACAATTGGCCGGCTAAGAGCCATGATATATAGATAACCATTGTAGAATGTAATTTCAACGAATTGGTAATTATCCCAGCCTAATCAATAATAATAATATGATAGTCGATAAAATGGGATTCAGAGGTAGTGAAAATAATTTCATTCAAGGAATATGTCTAAAGCCTTCAAGTACTTCTCCCCTGTTCATTAGTGTGTAAGTAATAAATCAATTTATATTGGACAGTGAATAACTATAATTTTTTTTATTTAGAATTGTCTGGAATTGCTTTTTACAACAAATGAGAAATTTCCTGATTTAGCTATCATAAAGGGGCCGAATTTGGTTAACTCGTGGACAAGATCCATCTATAGCTTCATGGTGGTTGTTCCAAATGTGTTTATGAAATGTGGAGGATCCAAGGCGTCTTGAGCTTAAGCACAAAGCAAAGTGTCAGTTTCGTTAAAGTACAGTTAATATGATATTCTAAATGAGCTGT